AAAGCATATTCAACAATAAGCCCTTATCTTTGGATAATTTCAATTCTACCGGCAACAACACCGAAAAGCCGGTCAAGATATCGCCGGATCAACTGAAGAATGGATAGTGTGACGTTATGTCCATACTGGTAGAGGATATAACATCACCGTGCTGGCATACGAATTTCATCTCCTTGTCCAAGCGGTCATGCCAATCTTCTGTCAGGAGGCCATGGACTTCTGGTTCTGTTTATCATATAGATATTGATGAAACATCCAAATATAAGGCATCTCAGTTTGTCGGGACTGTACAAAAACTTTATATTAATATGACAACCATTTTAATGTAAGGCACAGGTGATGCACGTTTGCCAATCGAGAAAATGTTATTTTCTGAGTTAAAAAAGTCAAAGTTAACCTCAATTTTCTTTTCTTTTTGTATCAGTGCTATCACTTTTTTTCTTATTTACTATTACAATGCTTACTATTAAATTACTTACTTACTTACTTAACTGACTTACACACTCACTCACTCACTCACTTTACTTACTTACTTACTTACCAAATTGATTAATTACCTACAATAATGTTGAAAGAAAACTCATGCATGCCCGTAACCATGACGAAATCGATATCCTCATCTCTGTGCGCGACAAAGATGTCAAATTTTAGGAACACGAAAAATCCTGGTATTTTATCAATATTCGTACTTAATAAAATGATGTTCTTATGCCATTTTACATCCGTTTGCTTACATCTGCAGTTATATATAGTTACAGTCCAACTGACTTTCTCCGGTCAGCTGATGGCCCTTTTACGATCTTTCACCGCGCGAACTCATTTCCTGTGATATCTCTGATCCCCCGGTGACTTCTAATTGGTCAAGATCAAATCCTGTCCCAAGCTCGCGAATTTGCCGCGACTGATCCAAGATGGTGGATGAAACGGCTGGATAGCGGTTCAACCCGAGCTGTGATCCTATCCAAGAATTAGGAGATTAGGTTTCAAAATCTGCGTAAAACATCGCTCAGTTATTGCTTTTCTACATCTACTGTACTAACTGATACAGCTGCCGAATGACCTGCATCACACCAGTTTACAAAATCAATAAACAAACAAATGAAATCTCGCTCCCATGAACCAGGATACAAAGTTAAAACAAAGGCCTTTAATCTAAGGGCTCACGAGATATCAGGTGAATCACGGTCACTGGTCACAAGGTATC